GATTTCTGTTACTCTTCATAATGTTACTTGTATCTTTTGACTCTTGCTTTATAATTTTTGATATGTAGCTCATAGCAGTGATTATCAGCTATGCCGCATTTTAAGAAGCAACCAAATTGAAATCTACAGTTTTGATCTTACTTTTAAAAAATAAAGAGCCTGAAAGGTATTTGAAATCATCTACCTACATATTTCTTTTTCTGGAGAGAAATATCAAAGTGACTTAGGAAAACAAAACAAAACAAAATTCCAAAGTAACTAAATGGATTATTTATGAAACAGGTCAATAAAAAATCCCTCTCAAGTGGGATCCCACAAAAGCTAGAGAAGCTTTTCATTCTTAAAAAAACCTCACCAATGCAGAATGCAGCATGTCTCTCAATAAAGATTGCTTTCATCCAGTTCAAAGTAAAACTTTAGAGGGAAAAAAAAGGGCAGGGGGGCAAACACAGCATTTCCACCATGTACAAAATAAAACCAAATGCTAAAATGACTGTAGCCCTCCTCCTCATTATTTTCTTCTTTTTTTAATATCAATGCTTTACACTGAAATTATATCAACCTAACAAGATTTTTAATTTTTATGATTGTTGTCACAATTTTACCAACAAAAACACTAACTTGTTAACCAAGAGTCCTCTTTGTTTTGCTTTGGGAGCATTAGGTGAACTGCAAGGCCTGGTGCTCAGCTTCAGTTCGTCCTAGTAGTCCCCCAGGAGCTGTGCTGTTACAGAGTGCAGTGTGCTACTGCTCAGGTGGGGAATGGGGGATGCCACACAGACCCTGGGTTTCCCTTGTAAAACATGCAAAAGATGTCATTTACAGCATTACCTATCCTGTAAGGTGGTCAAATCCCCACAAACTGTGTCTATGGATCATAAGATATCAGTTCTAAAAACTGTAGGTCCTACTGCTGCAGTTTGCAAAGGCATTTGTCATCTTTTACCAAACAATGTTTGGGAATCCTTTTAGAAATCTTCAGTTCTGATACATTCATAAGCAGAAAATATAGTTATTGGAGGAAACAATTCCAGAATGAGCCATAAAAATTATCAGTGTATCTGGTCATTAATAAGTCCAGGAAAAGCTTGCTGTGAAAAGCTACCACAGCACTTTTCTTACTTACACCTATTTTTCCTTAACATACAAGCTGTATCAAGTGATTTTTAAAACACTTATAGTCTTTCCCAGGAACTCAACTCTGCTATACAGTCACAGAATAAACAAAATTATTCTAGCACCTGTAAAACATCACCACATTTTGTATCAGACTTACTGAAGTGAGCAAATCTCAACTTTAAATTGAGAAGAATCATCAGAAGTCTGGGCAAGTTTATTTGACTTCAGTTTTAAGTCATTTTCCAAATAGTTTATTCTTTCTTTCAGGATAGAGACTGTAGTCCTTAGTTCACACTTTTCAATCTTAAGCTGCAATTTAAAATAAATAACCAAATGTTATTATTGCAGAAAGCTATTAGAACTTGGCTTTTAAATAAATTTAAGTTGAAAACAGATACTAAAATAATTTCTGGAACAGTCTATCCTATTTTAGAAATAATAAAAGCTTATTTCCTAAAAACACACTTACTCCTTGAATTCTATTCTCCACTTTACATTCTTAGATGAATGACCAAAAGCAAAGCTCTTTCTGTAAAACTACAGAACATTAGTTGAAAATACATTACTGTAGTTTAATATAACATCACTGATTTTGGGTTTGGTTCTTGGTTTAGATTTTTTTAAATAGTATATTTATAATATAATATAATGTATTTGGTCCTGACTAAATTAATATTTGTGAGTTGTTGTAGAGTTTACGCAGCTACATGAGCTTGCGTGCGTGTATAACTTAGTGCCCTAAGACATTTCAAATAAATTTATTCAAATATTATTAATTACAATATGCAAGGCACACTACAAAGCTAACTGGCCTTTCCCTAAATCTATGAAGAAACTTTTAAAGATTACTTATCTGTTCCCTGATTTCTGTACATAACTGCAGTGAAACAAAGTCTCAAACTTCCTAGAAATGCCCTCCATTAATGTGTTTGTAAAGGTATTTCAAAGTGTCACACATATAAAACATTGGTAGTCACCTATAAGAAGAAAGGATGAAGCTGGAAACATATCTTTACTACTGCATGCACATGCTTTAAGCAAAGAGGTCAGATTTACTGCCACTGCATTCAGATACACAACAGGTCTTTATTTTTGTGGCAGTAAAATCAAACTATGGAAGCATTCATCATACAGTCAGTATTGACATATGTTGTCTTGGAATAAGCCCATTAAAATTATTTTAAATTTCTGAATTTTCAAAAAGTTTTAAAACATTATATATATAAAATTAAAAATTTTAAAACATTATTTTAAAACATTATATTATATTAATGACCAATAAAGAAGTCATGGAAATAAGTCCTCTGAAATCATATGCTCTTGACTACAACCAAATAAGACATTAATGCATATTAATACCAGACATCACATGGTCATAGAACCATAGAATCATTTAAGTTGGAGAAGACCGCCAAGACATTAAGTCCAACTATTAACCCAGCACTGCCACATTCAACACTAAACCATGTCCCTAAGTGCCATATCCACAAGCTTTTTGAATATTTCCAGGGTCAGTGATTCCATGACATTCCTGGGCTGCCTGTCAAGGTCAGGGTAACAGGAAAATCATTGCATTACCAGATATTTTTTTTTAAAGGTCAAAATTACTGAAACTTGAATTGCAATGAATTCATGTTTCGTGGTTCAGTTATGTGCTATTTAAAATATACTCTGCAACAAAATGCAACACTAATTAAAGATCAGCAAAAAGTTAAAAAGCCCATATAGTCCCAAATTTGTATGATAAGAACCATATGTGATTGTGCCAGCGTGCTCCACCCCCTCCTTTTTTTTTGGTAAAGCAATAGCCACTAATGGCCCTTCTGCATCCAGCTTAAGGAGGACTCTGGGATGAGAGCTAACAGGGCTAGTTGAGCATGTGGCTGCTGAAATACTGCTGGTATTAAATATAAGTCAGTCATCTTAGTCCTTGAAGAGTGGATGGCCCAAGGCCCACTAAGCTCTCCTGCATGGCAGCAGGCTGAACACCAGGATCCCCCTTTGAGCTGGGAAACTTCTGAAGCTTGTTAAAGCAGAGAGAATCCTTACTGCATCTCATACTCAGCAAGTGAGTTGGGAGTGAGAGCACTGAAATGTTGAAATGTTTGCTAAGAGATATAAAGTATTGATTGCTATAACCCTTTAGACACAGACTATCGACCAATATGGATCCAGGCACACTCCTCTGAGGAGTCTGGAAGTCAAGGAGACCCTTCTGAACCTCGTGATTCACTGTGAGGGTCTCCCTGACAGTTTTGTCTGACCTTGGCCTCCATGCAGCAAATACTCAAATGTACCTTACCATGAAATCTTGTTAAACCACCTTGGCATTCAACATTGAATTTTTCAAACTCATTGCCTTAAGTGAATAAAATATATTGCTGCTTCTCTCTTGTGAGTGAAGTGCACGATTTCTTCCACGACACCCAAACATCTTTAAAGCAGTGCATGTGCAAAAAGTATTCTATGGCTGGGCCTCCATATCTAGGTCTCCCACACAAGGTGCTGACATGTTTGCCCTTAAATACCTTAAAACATGTTCCTTTCCCCCTGCTCCCAGCTTGGGACTATGCTTATAGGAAAATTAGGAAATTCATAAAAACACCAGTAACAATAATATTATATATTCAATAATAATATAAATTCATTGAGCTCTCAAGTGTGAGTTTGAAATCAAAAGTAATTGAAACAGGGAACAGAGAGCCAAACACAAACACAGCATTATTGTATAAACCTTCCCTATATGCTACCTTAATGTAAGCAATGAAGCTATAAAAGCTCACCTTCAATTTTTCTCCAAGACTTTCTTTTTCTGCCATTAGTATTTTAAAATCCGTCAGTGCAATGTCTCTTTCTTCTTCTAAGGTACTTTGAGAAACTAAGCTGTGTTTTGCTTCTCTTCTCATCCTGTTCAATTCACTCTGAGACTTTAAAAGATTTTTGTAAAAAGATAGTTTGTTAGCATACATGGATTGCAATATAGTGTACACACTAACAAAATGCTGCAATTACAACAGAAATCCTGTTATAGTCTTATTCTTCCCTAGATAACTAAAATGTATTCTCTAAATCACTCAGTGGCATGACAATTTACGCTGTCAAAATAATCATCATTCTTTTATTGTCCTAAGTATAGCCAAACTTCATTGTTCTCTTATCAGTTAACTACTCCTTTCTTGCTTTCTTCCTGTATCTTTACACATCTTTCTCATGCATTCTATTGGTTTTTTTCCTGATGTTTACAATGTCCAAATGCCAGTACAAAAACTTTTAATAGCTTTCAAGTTAATAAACTAACTAGAATACATAATTTTATTATCAAGTAATAAAAATAGTTATATATTTTATCAGTGTTGGCTGTGTTCTACTAGGTTTTTAATTTTAAATAACCAACAGTACAACAAAAGTGTTAATTGGTTATTTCAATGTTAACTATAAACAATTTCTTCTTACCTGCTCATAAAGAACATTTAATCTATCTCTTTCTGCAGTCAATAATTTGACATTGGACTGAATTTCTATCATGTGTTTTTCAAATCTGTCTAACACAGACCGCAGCTCATCTCTTTCTCTGGTGATTGATTTAAGCTCTTCGCTCTGAAAAGTGATTGATAAATTTATGTTAAAATTTGCTAAATAAAAAACCTGAAAAATCAATACCAGAAAAGAATTCCTCCTATTAGTAATACATAAAAATATATATTCAAAATAATTTTAATCACAAGAAAAAGCTTTGCACTGGTGTTGTAATCTAAACAACAAGAACCAGCTGTTAAAAAGAAAAAGCAAAGGAGCTGGCAAGATATCTGTCCTTTTCTGATTATTATCTAGTTCTATTTATTTTAAATAAAGTGATCAATAAGTAATCAATGTTACTGTAAAATGTGACAAGGAGAGACAAAGGCAAGTTCATTGGAGTTTCTCTCAATTGGTTTTTTGCATCAAGAATGTAATTTAGAACACTACTTCAGTCATTTAATGCCACTGAACTTGAAAATATATTTTATATGGCTTCTTAAATGTTTCTAAAGTATTTTTTTCACTTATTTTGACAGCATGAACTCTACCTTCTCTGCAGTCCTGCGGCTTGGGCTAGGCCTTAGTTTTACCATTTTCTGAAGATAGTCTAATTCTCGCTTATAGTAGTCTCTGTCATCTTCTAAGGTCTTTACAAATGCATCTAGGCGAGATGGAGATTTGTCTCCTAGGGCAATACCGTAGTCTAATCTCATTCTTTCGATTTCTAGGACAAATTCTCGTTCTGGAAGGGAAAAAAAAAGAAAAGAAGAGAAACAACTCTATAGGGAGATCATGAATTTCCTCAAAGACATTTGCATTTGGGATGGATTAACTCCCGTCAACGATCCTGACTGAAAAACCTGCTGAAAAGGATGGAAGAATTCTAAAGGCTGAAGTAGGCTAAACACAAATGACTAGTGTAGTGTAAGACTAACAGAGGCCTCCCAGCACCTTGGGCTGTATCAACAGAGACAGAGGGATGTGACTATTCCCCTTTATTTAGCACCCATGAGACTGCACTTTAAATACTGTTTTACGGTTTGCCCCTCCTACAACAAGAAAGACGTGGATAAATTAAATCCAAGGCAAGCCCTGCAAGGCAGAGCAGAATACTTGCTTGTGGGAATAGCCGAGGGAACTGGATTTCTTCAGCCTGGAGAAGAGCTGGAGAGCCAAGAGTAGACTGACAGTACCATGAGAGACTTACAGATAACTTAAAGCAAATTTCTTCACAGTGCAAAGTAAATAAGGAATAGTGGAAATTATTTGCTACAAGCAATTACAAAAAATATGGGGGAAAAATATTTTACTCTGAGAACTGAAGAACATTACAGATCTGAAATCCTCACCCCTGGAGTTTTCAAAATCTAAATGGCTAAATCTCTCAAGAAACAGAATCTGCAGAGTTTTGGAAATTACTTTGTATGAACCTACCACAGAGCTAGGATACGGATGTCCTGTGGGATCACAGTAAAAGCTCAGCTTTCAGTTCACACATACAGAATGAAAGTATCTTTTATGACAAGAATTTTCACTTCAACTATGACTGGAGACGCACAGTCTTCTTTTAATTTACATATATTAAAAGTCTTTTAGTACTATCAACTGTATGTTAAATACGTAAGTATTCTATTTCAAAAATTACAGAAAGGTAGCTTCCAAGAATCTACATTTGATGATTTACCTTTTCTTTCTAAGTGCTCTGTTTTTTCTGTCAGCCTTTGCTTCTCTTGTTGAAGCTGGCTTAACAACAACTCAAGATTCCCTTTTTCATCTTTTTTTCCAATGAGTTCTTCATTCAGTCTGTCATTCTCCTTTTGACATGAGCACAACTCCTGAAGTAAGTATTATTATAAAAATTAGAAGTGCCAATAGACACACTTGGGGAAAAAAAATAACATTTTGTTCAACTTTTAATATACAACACTGTTTATTTCTCCTTGACCTGGATGCTTTATGCTTTAACATTTGTTGCAGGCTGTCATTGTATTTATACTACATTTTAGTAAATCCAAGTAAGCATTATTTTCTACATGGTTTGCAATCAGTAACAAGTAACAAGAAAAGCAAACCAACCAGTAGGGTAGCAGGATACAAACATGGGAAAAAGTTAATGACTAAAGCAAGAAATAATTTTAAAGGCATTTGGTAACAGTTTTGGTCTTAAAGTACACTACAATACAGCATCTCAGTCAATGCAACTCTGAAGCCAATCAAAGCCTATTGGGAACACCTTCCCTATCATGTGATGTCATGAAAATTATTTTCATATTTGCAAGTTCCCTAGACAGACTAAACAAAACACTGTACTCAGCTAATATACAGGTTGCTACATATCCTAGAAAGAGTTTGGTCTTCAAAAAATTGGTAAGAGTGATATTTTTCATCTGGGCCCTATGTTTGTTTCTGAGTAAGCCAAGTATTGAATAATTTTTCACATCCCGATTAAGAGACAAAGTAGTTTCTAAACAATGAAAATCCTCTAGGATGTTATTTACAATGGAAATTATAGCTTCAGATAGCAGAAATAAGGAAATGTACAGTAAGGACATAGTCAATCATACTGTCTACAGAGATTTCCTTCAGTTTATTTTTTGCATCTATATGATGTAGATTCTCTAGCTCTTTCATTTATTATTTAGTAACTTTTACATCAGAGGTTCAGGGTACTAAAGAAGTTCTCTTGATAATAGATGGTATTTTTATATAATAAATGAAACAATCATGTAGATGACAACATGACAAAAATGGTACAAACAAGAACTGAAAGTATTTTTACTTACTGATTTAAGCCTTGTTATTGTTTCTTGCAGATCCTGTATTTCACTGACTTTTCTTTCAATTTCTTTCTATCAACCAAAATTAACCTATATGTTAAGAGTTACATATTCAAAATGACAAAAATCCCTTTGTTACAAAAAAAATAAGGAAGGAGACTATTTTGGTAAGAAATGAAGTAAAATTAGTTTCTTGTAAAAAAATAGTAAAGCACAAAAAGCACAAAAAAAAATGTGGTATAAACACGCATGCTCTTTTGGAGTACAATGATTAAATGAATCACTACATGACTTCTCATAGAACAAAACTCTCCAAATATATGCACTGCTGCTGCAAATATGCATACCTAGCAATAGCTTTAAGTACCTCAGCATTTTATTTCATACTAAGCTAACAGAAGAAAAAAGATTTCCCCTTAACTAAAATCATCTCAACCTAATATAGTAAAGAGACAAAATTGTTGTGATTAATCCATTTTAAGTGAGAAATTCAGTGTAATATTAAGAAAACAGGAAAAAAAATCTTTTTTATCTTCCTTTCACAAGCCAATAAGTCTTTCATTGCAATTAGAAGATATAAAGCCAAGTAAAATGGAGCAGATCCTTCACTCTGTGACATGTTAGTGATTACCTTTGCTTCTCCTATTTCCTTATCTGCAGTCTCAAGCACTATTTCTTTGTGTCTTTCCAACTGCTGTGCCAAGTGATCTATTTCATTCAGTTCTTGACACAGTTCTTCGTTTTTATTGCTTAAATCCACTACCTCACTAGTCACATTTTGTTTAGTGTCCAAGAGATCTTGAATGCGATTTTCAAGTTCTTTGTTTTTTTGCTGAAGATATTCAACCTGAAAGACATTTTTCATTTAAATATTAATATACATTGTTAAATTAGGTAGCAAAAGTTCCTCCCAATCTTTTGAAATACTGTATCTCTATATCCAAAGTAAAAAAGTGATATCCTGTTAAAATTTTTCTATTTTTAGAACTTAATGCTTGAAAAAGAAATACAATGTTATAAGCTCTCTCATATTCATGAATACTGTTATCTAAAGACAACCAAACATTTCTTGTCAAATAAAAAACGTATACTGGGACCAACCCTGAACAAATAGTCTTGATGGTGCAAAACCAGCTTCATGCAGCTCTGGGCTCACTCCCTGTACAATCAATTTGTATTCATCATGACTTACTAATTCAGGATCACTGAGCACAGCTGTCCTGCTTCCAAGTCATAGCTAATTCTGCATTTTTGCAGCACTGAACCTAAACTAATAAACTCTTCAGTGTGGCTCCCATACCACTGTACTTCATGCACAATCAGTACACAAAACATCTAACTCACGTGAGAAAAACCTGAGAATTGATATTATAAATCAAGAGATAGGCTTTACTTGATTTACTGGATTTGTACTCCAGCCCATCTCTAAATTCTTCTTCAGAGACCTGTATTGAATGCATGCTAACACACACTGTAAACACAAACACCTTTATCCTAAGCTTATCCTTTCCTCACAAGTTTGTGTTGGGGTGAAGGTGGGGACCATTTGAAACCCATAAGGAAGATTCCCCACTCTCTCATGAGTATCTACAGGGCTACTCCTTATCATAATTACAAATACCATTGTTACTTTCTAAAGCATAAATGGCATGTATGCAATAACCTTCTAACTAAATAAAGGATTTTCAAACTTGCTGAAAACAGTGTGTCACACAAAAATTTGCTGAATACTTTCAGATTAACATACTATCTATAGATGTGAGTTCACTGAATTCTTTACCAAAACCCTTCTGACAGACTTTTAAAACAGGAAATTTAATTTCCTTAGAAAAGAAACACTGCCGCCTAAAAAGAAAGGCAAGTTCCATCGATTGATTTTGTATCTATAGTGATTTTTTGAAGAGCTAGAAGTTTTGTGTTTTTTTTAAATTGCTATATTTTTAGGTCTGACTAAACAATTGTAATAAATTAATTACCTGTAAATTCAAGTGGGAAATAAGCTTCTCATTACTTTTAGTTCTTGATTCCAGAGAGAGAACCTCATGAGAACGCCCACCATCCAATGCCCGCATTAAGCGCTCGATTTCTTTGTCTCTCATCTCAACCTTTGAGGGACAAAAAAAATGCTCTGGTATTCTTATACACCATTAATAGACCCTTCATTTAAACAGACAAACACATAACATTCCGTAAAAAGACATGCAACTAAAAATGCAATTTATATATTTTAATTTTTTTAATTTTTTTAATTTTTGGTTCTTCTGACAGAAGTTGTATCTTTGAAAGAGAAATAAATTAATCAAACACAATTTGAAAGGAAAAACTGAAACAGTTCCTACTAGATTACATTCTTAAAGAAAATAAATTATTTTAATTTAAAGTTAATTTAACAAATGCTACAACTTAACTGAGACTAGCACTTAAATTTTGGAAAAAAACTTCCAGGTAAGCTAACTCAGTGACTATTCCAGTCACTGGAAAAAAGGAAATATTGGAAGAGGAAAACCAAGATACAAAGAAAAAGGAATGACAACAGTGTCCACAAATCCCTAGATTTTGAAAGACATAACATATGAACATTTGATGTAATTCCATTACTTAAAAATTGTACATATCTTATCAATCAACTCTCATTAAAACATAAAATCTGTTGTTCATAAATTAGCTATCAAAAATTGAAAAAAATAAAACCAGTCCAAGAAGTGAAAAAATTATCCTAAGATATATGTAGATCAAATTGCTGTTTTGGACAATTTAATACTTACACACTAAAAAATGCAGAGAAATTCTACTTATGATTGTCAAGTTTAGCTTATTTAATATAATTTCAATACACAAAATTTATCAGCAAAACCATCAGGCAAGTATTTTGTCATTGCTGCTGTCTCCAAAAGCAGAGGAGGGAGACTGCTCAACATAGCCAAGTTAGAATTATATTTCACAAGCCCCACAATGCATTCCCACAAAGGTTTTTAAGACACCAAGGCCATTGCCATGGCTATGACACCCAAATAATAACAATAATATTAACATTAACATTAATATTAAAACAACAATACCACTACTACTGATGATTTAAACATACCTGTTTGCTGTAATTTTTTATTCCACTTTCAGATGCCTCCAGTTTTTCCTGTAGCTCTGTTACTTCTGACTGCAGTTCTTGAATTCTGAAATGTAGCACTATATTTTTTATGTGAATTCATGGAAGACCTGTATGTACACAGTTCAATACCTGCATTTTCTCTTTGCTTCTGAACCCAAATATTTCACGGAGAAAGAGTTTCACTCATGCAAAATATTAATGCAGAAGCTGTTTGAGATATTGTAGCAGGTTGACCTTGTAAGGCTGCTAGTCTCCCACCCAGATGTTCTCTTACTTCCCTTCCTCAACAGAATAGGGGAGAAAAGATGAAAAAGCTCAGGGGTCAAGACAAAGACAGGGAGACCATCTCCCCATTACCGTCACCAGTGACAGACTCAAGTCGGGGAAGATTACTTGAACTTATCAATCAAAAGGAGTAGAACAGTGAGAATCAAAGACACACCTCAACACTTCAGAGTTAAAAAGCTCTTTGGCTCACCGATTATCAGCCACCTGGAGAAGGTCTGCGATGTAAGGGTCCTCTGGCTGAGGCACTGGGTAGGCACTGACACCTGATGGGGGCACAAGGTGGTCTATCTGCATGCGCTGACGCCTGAAGGGAATGCTTTTCCTCCTGCCACCTAAAAGCCCAAACCCAGAAATAAATTACTTGGAGTTAAAGCAAGGGAGTCATCTTCCTTAATACAAAATTAATTTTCCTATTTATTCTACTGCATTCAAATTCATTCCTAACACAAGTGATGACCTAATGAAACTTCATACAGAGAAATCACAGAATTCAGAGCCCAAACTTTCAAAGGGCAGTGTTACTCTACTGGATATTTTACTACAGTAACTTCTCTTAGAGAAAAATATATTATGTTCTGAAGATCCAAAAAAGCCCCAAAAAAGGTGAAATATCTGTGATTAGTTACACTAACCAGGTGTTTGCACCACTGCTTGCAGATTCTTCTCCTGAAGCTGATGAATTTTTTCATTCTTGGCTTTGGTCTCTTTTTCAAGCATTTTAATTTTATGTACATACTGGTTATTCAAAAATTTCAAGTCAGATGTTTCATGTTCAACCCTCCTTAAGGAAGCTTTCAAATCTTCAAGGGAGAGAAAAGCAGTATTATCTCTCTTATTTACTATTATTTTTCCTAGTAGCACCAAAATAAGCATAAAGAAAATCCTATATTCTTTTTCCATAGCATAAAATAATCAAGTACACATACATATGAGCATATTATTACAAACAAACACACAAAAATATGTATTTATACATGTTTCACAAATAAACACCCACTGTGGAACAAAGGCACATTTAAGAGCAGTATTTAGTTTTCAATTAAAAAATACCATTTCAAGGTACGAAAGTATATGTTAAGATTTCTAACATTCTCGTATCTTATTAAAACAATAATTTGCAGAACTTCCAAAGTTTTTTGACTGCAAAAGAAATGTCTGAGCATGAATCTTAATTCACTAAGGCACCAAACTTCATGACCATTCACACTCACTTAAAAGTACAGATAAAAGAATCTGAAGATCAAGGATTTACCCACAATTTTATTTTGGCATGGAAGGATTAAAGAAAAAAAAAAAAGTCATCATTTACATATTACCTTTAATATGATGATCAGACTGCTCTTTCAGTTTTAATATTTCTAAATGTAGATCATTATTTTCCCTGGTAAGTCTAGCATTCTCTGTTTTATAAGGTTCCAAAATAGTATCATAATTGCTGCATTCTTTCTCAGTTTTTCCAGAAGATAACTTTGCTCTGCGCAAGCTCTCTGTTGTATGAACTAAATCACTAGAATAAAGGAGCATCAGATGTGTTAGCAACATTATCAGCCTTCATACTGCAGATGCAAACGTTAGGTATGATCTGAGAAACAAAACCCTTTCCCCAAGATGGGGAACAATTGAGTTCAAACAAAGGCAACAGAACATTCATGTCATGTAAGAAAAACCAAAAGATAGGAACCATCTGTTTAAAAAAATAGTAAATAGGAAAGAACAGAACAAAAAAAAAACCAGGATAGTTACAAAGTGTATCAGGAGTTTAATGTTAAGTATCAAAGCTATGATGAAGAGAGTAAACCTACCAGGTAGATACATGAATGAGACTTAATGTTGAAGACAGATTACTCCATATTTGTCTACCTATGGTTACTCCATCTGTATTACATACTAGAGAGCAACAGATCCAGAATAGCTACATTTGCATGTTCAGTCAAATATAACTGGATTACTATGGAAATTACTATGTTCTTAATAACATCAAAGCCAAAAAATGGCAGATGTAATAAGTAGGAAATCTGAAAATTTGGGGTATTTTTCTGTTATGTATCTTGTCAAAAGGGCAGAAACAACAAATTTAAAATTCCCTAAATGAGGCCATAATAAATGAAGATGTGCTTGTTCCATTTTAAGCTGCAGAACAGGCAATAAGGATTATTTTTTATACAACCAGTTATAAGAGTATGTCCTTTTAAGCACATATCAATAATGATTATTCTTGGCTCTCTTACGAGGTTAGAAAAATTGAATTTTTCCTATGCCATAGATCCTTAGAAGCAATTCTACTGAATTAAACTAAATCTTAAGATGTTCCCATCACTTAAGCAAACCCATCTGACTTCATCAGACACTGGAACTTAATGTTAGCTCTGAAATAACACTGCTACAAAATAATACTCAGATTAAGCCTTCATCCTTACATGTCAAAAATCAAACAATACCTACTATATGATTACTATTTTTTTAATTAATCTTCTTTTGAATACCTGAAAAGCTTTTCCACCAAAGGTAAACTCTCCACTCCCAGTGACTGCCGATAGCCCAGCTGATCCAGACGTTTCCTGAGATTAAGGAACCTTCGCTCTGCACTTGTATTCATTGTAAACACACTTCCAACGCTGCTTTTGTCACAGTCAAGGAAAAACAGAACACCTGCAAAAGACTGTTGGTTACATCATCTGTGCTTTAGAGAAGGAAAAATATAGATATAAAAATATATAGAAAAAAAATGAAAAAAACCTTTTCATTCTATAGGCAATCCAGTTCATAAGCATGCCCTTAAAATTTATGAAAATCAAAACAGGATCACTGCAACTGAAAAGTTTTAAACGTATTTATATACTCCTTTAAAAATAAATATTTGCCTTGGCAATTAGTTTTCTAATTACATTATGATTTTTTTTGAATCATGGTCATCATTGTATCTTGCACAAAACAAACTGACACATTACTCTGAAAAACTCATGATTTTTTCTTTCATATATAAATCTTACTTTCAAAGTTTATAACCAAGTACTTAATATAACTTATGCCAACCATTTCTAAAACTGCATAAAATGTGTAAAATGTTAAAGACAGATTAACTTTCAACATCTATATTTTATAACAGAAATCAGGGAAAGATGAAAAATATTGATGTACTGTAAAAATATAAAAAAAATATTAATGTACTTGCATCATTTTCTGGAAAATACAGTTCAAGGATCAGAGAGTTGGGTTTTTTTCAACTGACTGATTAGTTATCTTTTTATTACAAATCTGATCTAAAGGGAACTAGATCAGCATTATTGTGTCTGAATCCAAATTATAATTTTGGTTTTTCCAAGTACATTTGAGGGAAGAACTTTTACATCATTATGTCCTTCTGAATTTAGACATAGAATGAGAAGACAAATCAAGTACTAAAGCTTATATTTCTTAATCTGTGAAAACATCTGTTCAATAGTTATAAGTAGTTTTGAAAAGTAGTTATTTCTGTAAAACATCTTCCCCCATATTTCTTCAGAAGTTTCAGCACTAACCTACTGGCTGCAAAGACCCCAGCAGCCAAACTACCAGTTCAAGGAGGTGTTGTTTGCATCTCATATAAAAGCAACAGAATATAGAGACCACCAAACTGTCATCACAGTCCTCCAGATTTTAAAAAGTTGTTAAATAATAATATGGAGGTATTAGAAAATAAAATGAATTATTAATAATAAAGTGAGGAAAATGCATGTTTCTCTCATATCTAATGCTGGAAAGTTAAAATTTCATCTCATTTTATTAAAAAGCTACAAAGAAGTCTAGCAACAGACCTGTGGTTGCTGGGTTCTGCTCTGTAGATGAGAATCACCAGTCCTATAAGCAAGGCATCTGTTCTGGGTACTACCAAAAATATTTGCTTGAAGAGGTTCAGGTTGTTGGGATATTAACTAAGCAATGGTATGGCCAACAATCCCTTACATGCTGTGCTGGGATGGCTGAAGAAGGCGGCGGCGCACTTTCTTTCCAAATAAGTGGAAGTCAATGTCCTGATGTGTAGTAAATGGTCTTCAAAGATTAAAGAAACAAGTCCTTGGTATTTCTGTATTAAAGCTGAAGATTCTTTGTTGAAATCAGCAAAAGTGTGATTGTGTTACTGTGTCTAGACTGAGTCTTAGGAATACATCATATACTACTACAGAAGAAAACTGGTAACTCCTGATCCCATCTTCTCCTTAAGAAGACTTGTATCAGTTAAAATTACTAAATTACCTTAAAATAGTTCATCAGATTTGCTTAAGAGCTTGTGTTTTAGAAAGAACAAAGATTTTTTTACTAATCTAACCGAGAAACTTTTGCAGAAGAAATATCACAAACAAAACCGTGTCACAGCTTGTACAGGAAGAGAATTTTCTGCAGTAACTGCAAAGAAAAATAAATGGACATATGTTAGCAATTCAGTAACTGTGTCTAGGAAGTACATATTACCACTGGAACCAACCCAGAAAGGGTATTATCTTATATTCCCTAGAGCCACATCTGATCCACAATAAGCCCAGGAAATGAATAGCTGTAGTATAGGTCCACAAGGTATCCTGGAATGAATATAAGAATTTGGGTTGTTATTCCAGAGAGCTTAACATAGATATTAATGTCTTCAAAGACAGTAATTGTCATACACCCCTAGCTGGAAAAAAAATATGTGTCAGTAATTCCAGACCTCTGCCATTATAGACTACCATAATTTAAATCTTATATCCTAAATTTAGTCTATCACTAGTCTTACCATGACATGAAAAAGTATCTAGTAACTTCTACATGAGGAAAACTTGTTTTTCTGGAACATAAAATCAATATATTAATAATAATTAATTGATTCAGTCAAATCCAAGACCTGTCTGACACAATATCCTATGTCTCTTGACAGTTGCGACAGCAAGAGTATAAAAACCTAAATAAAACAAGCCAAATCTTACTCCTACATACATTTTCTTCATATAAGCTGACAATGCAGGGCCTTGTAGGGCTCCAAGTTGGACTGAAATAATCATAATGGTACCTGACAGACCTTGCTATGAGCAGTCATACTGATATTTGGCTGTAGCCTTTACTATTCATATTGATTCCTAACTGACCATTGGCCTTTTGGATCACTCTACAGCATCAATTAGAGGCACTCACAGCGACACATCTCACTGAGTGCTTGCTACCACTTTAGAGACCACAGCATGTATTACCTTGTCTTTACTAACACTGCTCCTTAACTTTGGAATCATTACTCAGTCTGGTGAAATTCTTCTGACACCCTTGGACTGCACTCAACATGTCCACATAATGAGGAAATTCTGTCCCCTGCTGTTTAGCTCCCTCTTCCACATTACTGATCTGTTTGTCATGGCTTAACCCCAGCTTGCAAGCAAGCACCACACAGTTGGCTTGCTTACTCCCCCCACTCCCACAGGGATGGAGAGGAGAACCAGGGGGAAAAAGGCAAAACTTGTGGATTGCCATAGGAACAGATTAAGACTTGAAACAAAATATTATAGTAGTAGTAGTAGTAATAATAATAACAATAATAACAATAATAACAGTAATAACAATAGTAACAATAATAACAATAATAATAACAATAACAATAATAATAATAATAATAATGACAAGTGAAAGATATTGATAAAACCCAAGAGATGCACAATGCAATTGCTCACCACCTGATGACTGATGCCCAGACTGTCCCTGAACCACAATCAGCCCTTCTCTGGGTAACTCCCCAGTTTATATACTGGGCATGAAGTTCTGAGGTGTGGAGTACCCCTGTGGCCAGCTCATACCATCTGTCCTAGCTATGTTCCCTCATGGCTTTCCGTGCAGCTTCTCACTGGCACTGAGAAGTCCTGCTGAGAGAAAGCACTACCTAGCAACAACCAAAACACCAGAGTGTTATCAACATTATTCTCATGCTGAATCCAAAACACAACATTGCTAGGAAGGAAGCTAACTTTATCCCAGCTGAAACCAGGGCACTTGGTCTTGGCTCTAAACCATAGATTAGATGAATTCACAGTGACACATCTTTCTGAGCAGTTACTGCCATTTTAGAGACCAAGGCATGTATCACTTTGCTTTTATTAACAATATTCTTCAATTCCCACTTATTACTCAGTCCGGTGAAACTCTCCTGCAATCCTTGAGATTGCACTTAACCTATCTATAAAATGAGCAAATTTTGTCCCTTGCTGTTTAACCCATTCTTTCAGATCACTAGTCAGTCTTAAACAGCAGACAATCTTCTGCACATTCACTGTGAAGTAGTACTTTCTACTCTCTCTTTTAACACTAGCTTCTTTTCTCCATTTCTGACAGACACCTGCTTTCTTAAAAGCATTTGGTAAAAAAACTTCTCAAAAAGTTTTCTGGAAATCCAAGTTTTCTACATTATTTGCACCCAGTCAATTCAATCCAGAATATGCTTTTCTTTAAAGCAGCTTAATAGCCTTGTGAATCACAACTGAGTCCTGATGAAAGGTATGTCACACCTACTAAATGTCTGTAAGTTTGCAAAATACTGGAAAACACTCTCAACAGCTTTGGTATTTCCCATGAGAGAGGCTATGTTAGCTGCATAGTTCACATCATTTGTCATCTAAATATTTATTGCAATTTAGTGCTGCTGTGAGGAAAATAAAATTTCCATTTTCGACAAAAAATAGAAAAGAAAAAATTGAACACTACTTTAAATCAGTCATTTCCTTAACAGGATTTATTAATATGTCTAAATGATCACATTTCTCAGTTGCTTATTGAAGAGTATTCAGAGGCAATAGCCTCATTTTTTGTTCCCCCTTTGCTCATGAAGAGTGCTGAAGGTGACAACATTCACATGCTTCATTTTATAACATGCTTGGATGGCTGTGAGCAGTCTTTTGAAGATATAAATGTTTATGTAATAGATATGTGTAGCCCTTAAGAACTGTTCCCTACTGTTTTACATCACCAGTGTCTAAAACTGAACCTTGATGTGAAAGATGGGCAGTAGTGGAACCTTATATCCAGCTGTTCTAGGCTTTAAGCAGAGAATCAGCTGGCATAAAATTGTGTGAAAGAAGCAATGTTTATAGGTATTAGATTAGCAAATTGAAGTCCTCCTTCTATTTGGAGAACAACACAGCAAAATTGATGGTGAGTACAGGTTAAGAGCTGTTGCACATGCAATACTTGTGTTAGCAATAAGAAAATGTAATAATAAAAAAACAGAGCAAAGGTAGATCTTGGCCATGGAAGAAATAACGCAGTCAATTGAGCCACGTGGACAACAAAACCACATCACTAACAGTTGAACACAAAGAAATTTCTATGGACAAACATATATGCTATGATTTTTCTTTTTAATTGAGTCTGTAACATTAACACCAAAGACAATTATGAACTGCAGTTTCAGTCTCAGTTTTGGGAAATACCAAAATTTTCATTCAACAGAACTTACAATTTTTTCATTTAACAGAACTTACACGTTAAAGGTTTTTTCCTTTTTGTTCCTGTCCTGTTTGCCCAGGTACCAAAGGCAGTCAGAGGACCTCACATTCGACTACTGCAGTGCTTTAGGGCTGCGCCGTGACATGCAGCTGCTGCAAATCACCTTCAAGAAACACCCAAACAGCCAGCACTTGCTTTAGGGAAGTCTGATGCCAAGTGGATGAGCTGGGAGTTCATTTCTGACTAAGATATTCACGCAACGCGTTTGCTGTGAAGTCTCAGCACTTTGCAAATGGAAAGACACCACTTGCTGACAGACTTCTGCGCTACAGTGTCATGGAATGCCAGAATGGCTGGGGTTGGAAGGCAGCTCTGGAGATCATCCAGCCAAGGCAGGGTCACCTGGAGCAGGTGACGTGAAGGCGTCCAGCTGCGTTTGGAATGGCTCCAGAGAGGAAGCCGCCAAGAGCTCCCTGGGCAGCCTGGCACCATATCCTCTAAGTTCCCACTACAGCAAAGAAAACTTTCGGTTATGAGCCTGCTCATCACCCGTCTCCCTAAACTGGAAGCTTTCCAGCAACCCCAATCTGTACCAACAGAGGGGCGGTCGGTCCCTCTCCAAACAGGTTTACGCCGCTTTTCCCCCACACTTACCACTAAAAGAAGGCGCCGGCAACCGGGGCCGCTGCGGAGCGGCCGCGATGTCCCAGCGTTTGAAAACCTTTGAAAATGGCGCGCGGAGCAGCGGCCGCTTCCGGCCCGTCACCGCAGCAACGGGGGGGCCTGCCCCGCCTCGGCCCGGCCCGGCCCTGCCCGCCCCTTCCGTTCCTTCCCATCCCCGGCCGCCCCTTCCGTTCCTTCCCGTCCCCGGCCGCCCCTTCCGTTCCTTCCCGTCCCCGGCCGCCCCTTCCCGGCCCGGCAGCCCGCGCGGCGCGGGCGGAAGGCTTGGTGTGGCCGCGGCCCCGTGCGCCGGTAGATCCGGGACGAGCGGCCCGGCCCCGAGAGCCTACGGGAGAGACAGAGGGACGTTTTCAGTGCGCATGTGGGTGGGATCCTGCAGCCAGCAGGAGAAGGGGCAAAGGGTGCAGGGTGAAAGGGGAATAGGTTTAGACTGGATAGGAGGAGCTTGAAAGATAGGATCTTTACTGTAAGGGTGGCGAGACGCTGAAGAGATTTCCCAGAGAAGTTGTGGGTGCCCCACTCCTGAAAGTGTTCCCGGCCAGGCTGAATGGGGTTTTGAATAACTGGGAGGTGTCCCTGCCCATGGAAGATGGCTGGAACTAGAGGATCTTTAAGGTCCCTTCCAACGCAAGCAGTTCTATGAATCTGTGAAATCCAGGTGTTTCAATGTTACTGAGTTCCATCTGGCAGGTTTGTTACAAAACTCAGAAGAAAAAGCTCACATTCATACTTTTTAAAATTTTTTTATTCTTGTAGCTGTATCTCAGAATTAACATTTTACCTCTGTCTGCATGTTTATTTTATCTGTTTATCCTATATACACCCCATCTTTATCCAACAACTTGGAAATTTCATCAAAGCTGTACAGAAAACCTAGGTCCTGAATCCCTGGCAGCTGAAGCTCCAGGAGGAGGAAGGGTTTACATGAGGCTAGAGTATACTGATACTACATCATATTTACTAAAAGGAAGAAAAACAACATGGGTGCAGAAATGGAAAAATGCTTTAAATAGCCAGTAGCAAAACAATGGAATTAACTCCTTCACGTATTTTCATCTTGCTGAAATAACTCTCCACAGAAATAAAGAATATGATGAACATAGTTTAATTAAGAATTATAGCCATAGTCACATTACATCTCAGAACATAAGTTCAGTCTTCCCACTGCATAAAGTTCTACATCCATACTTCCTCGAACAAAGAAGGGAAAATATCTGATAGGCTTCAAAATGCTTACATAATTTCTAAGATGCAAAATATTAGTGAAAACAGTAATATTCTTTTGGCAGACTATGAAGGTAGTGCTTACTGCTTTTGGCAAGAGAAGGGATTATAAATAAAAATATTTTAATATTAGGGAAAGGGAAAAACTGTATCCAAAGTGTTTCACAGAATTAATACTTTTAAACAGTACTTCAGCCCAGTAGAAGCACAACAAATCCCCGAAGGTTTTATTTAGCCCTGAAAGGCATTTGAAACAGGAGTGTTACTCAACATACATGGCAGTTAACTACACACACCTAGAAATCCACCTTTTAAAACCCAGTAATATTTATAGTCTTTGATTCCTTTATACACAGGGACACACTTTGCTAGCTTCTCTTTCCCTTTCTAGAACTTAATGAGACTGTGCAATACTGGAGCAGTAGTCTAGAATATCCTGTATAGTGAATTCCATAGTAATTCCTGATCCAGGGTAGCAGCGAGCTATCAGCCCTTCAAAGTGCTTGTATTGTCGTATGAATTCATCTTGCATGGAATGCCACACAACCTGCCAAAGAAAAGCAAACTTTAGGAAAAGTGAGGTGGCACAATACACTACGTAGATGAACTACAAAACATTGGCTCATTAACTGATTCTCAGTTCAGCTGTCATTTTACAGTTAAAGATTACCAATAAAGTTCAATTGATGGAGTTACTGCATTAAAAAGAAGGTTGATGTTTTTTACCCATTAAGATCTGTAATGTTGACATGACTTGTAATAAATGTGCAAAGCAGAAAATTGTAAAGAAGATGGGGAAGTTTTCCTAATAGAGGTGTATCTTTTGTCCATCAGGAAAACACCTGGAACCAGAAGAGTGCTATAATTCATGTTTCAGACTTTAAAAAGCTGTTTAAACAAGTTTAACTCAAGTCTACTTATAATTTAGTCCAGTGAAAAAGTTTACAGAGTGTAAGAAAAACATTGGATAATACAACTATCAGAAAATATATAATTGAAAGTATTCTGCTGCAATGCACCAGCTAAGTTTGACATCAGTTACCCATTCATTTAAATCTACTCTCTACTTCCAACATATTTTGCAGAACAGATGTTACCCATTAATGGTTAGCTAGGGCATCATAAAGGAAGTTTCTTTCTGAACTTTTTTCCTACCACTCTGGTCCAAATTGGTATTGAACAAATAGAAACAGAGTAGAATTATAAAAAAAACACCCAAAAGCTGTACTCAAAATTTATGTTTTTAGAGTTAGGCTGAACATTTTCAAAGAATACATATGCAAAAGAAGTAATAAAAAGCCTCTGTGTAACATCATAGGGTTTTTAGGACATGATTTAGTTTACCTGAAGTAAGTTTTCTTCTTCACAGAGATGTTTATCTACCTTCTTGTAGAGATTATCCAATCCCTTCTTCACTTCTTTACCGGGATATTCCTTTATAACTTTACGAAGCTCTTGTTTATTAAAAGCCAGCTGATAGCTTACTTCCTCCTCTCGTATACCTTGTGCCACACGAGCTTCAACACCTTCAAAAAAATGCTAACAACAAGTAAAAGCATTAGTCACTATCACAAATCTGAGCTAATTAACTTCATTTGACAAGGATATGTGTGGTTAAATCTTGATTCTGCTTCATGACTGTTGTGTTCTCCCTGTTTTTGTTTTTGAATTGGGCATGAAGTACTGCTCAGTCATAAACATTAAAACACAGCCCAACAATACAGCAGTCCAAGTACTAGCATAAAACTGAAACCAGTAATTTTTAGAAGTAATTGATCTTTTCTTTGCAACCTTGTAACTAATAACCAATCAGCCTCAAAATCCTCAATTCAAGAGCTCATAGCCAGGGATCCAAATATTGTATCTTTTGGATGAACTCCCTAAGCACCTGAGCATCTTTTAAACCATAATTACACAGGACCGTATTTGTTCACAATTCCCCTCCCTTCTCACAGCCATTGACCAGTTTTTTCAACATAGTAAATATAAAAGTTGTAGTAAATAGAGGCAAGTACTTCTATGAACATGCAGGTTGAGCTCAAGAGTGCATCAGGTCTTGCTAGGACAGAGGTAACTCTCTAGCTAACTTTCTTCACAGCAGCTTTTATGGTGCTGTGTTTTGGATTTGTGTCTAAAAATGGGCTGATAACACAACAATGTTTTGGTTACTGCTGAACAGGTCAAATCTGACCAAATCATAGCACATAACATCATGCTCAGCTATAAAAATTAGGGTTGGAGGAGGCAGGGTTGGTATTTGGCTTCAAGGTGGCTGTTGCTCAGAAATTGCCTGGGCATCAATCTGCTTGTGAGAAGTAGTTAATGACTGCTTTTGCATCACTTACTTTATTTTTTTCTGCTATCTCTCTCCCCTTCTCTGATTAAACTGTCTTGATCTCTGCCCCCAAATTTTTTCACTTGTGCTCTTTATTGTCTCCCCTGGAGAGAGGGACTGAGTAGCAGTTAGCTACATGGCAGTTTAGGCATTAGTCAGAGTCAATCCACAAGTGGTAAACAGAAATAAAGCAATTTAATTTTCAAAAAGGGAATACATCTTAAAATGTCTCTGAAAATGGATGCCTGAAATCCTGTTTATAGAAGAAGCCATAAGACATCCAAGTGGATAGATCTGAGTCTGAACCTAAGTCACCACTTAGTTTCACATTTAGTTCAGACATACAGAATTTTCCTACAACTTTTCTTCTTGTTGAACAGCTCAGAAACTACAGCAATTTTCTCTGCAGCTGAGGTGAGGAAGATTGCCTCAAAAATCCTGATGACTTGTCCCCTCACTTTTTTCTTCCTCAAAACTATTTCCTTAAGACACTGATGTTTAGTCAGTACTATTAATTGCCATGAAAAATTTGGTTATTTTTATTCAAGACTGTTACCTTCATGAGTACTCTTGCCAGACATGCTCCAGTCCAAAATAATAAAGCAAGAGATTATGATAGATACAGTGATAAATCAAATAGTGTAAATAATACATTCAAAACCTCTCCTGTACCATTTAAATGAATACTCAAATATACTCACATTTAATTTCTCAAGAGGCTGTCCAAGTGAGTAGATTACATAAGACTGAAGATGATCAGTGTATTTCTGTTTGGCTTCTTTTTTCTCAGCCTCCAGACAAGAAATTTTCAAGCGAGAAAGTGTTGCAAAAATATGATGGAAGTTCTCCATCATGACGACATCCCTGGGCGTCTTCTGGCTTTCATTAGCTACTTTCTCAACTGAAAGAAATGAGAAACAAAATACTCAGAATACCAAACGGACAACAAAATTCAGAAAAACGTAAGTAACCATAATACTATCAAAAAAGGAATTTTGAATTTCATGTAACTGATTGCCATTTGTATGAGTAACTGTCAGAACTGTCACTAAATAAAACACTACCTAAAAGCCTTCAAAAGAAGTAACAGATACATACAGGCTCTAAGACGATTAAATTTGTATGGCAAAAAAGTCACTTATAAACAGATACAAATTAATGAGTACATATGGTCTCATTTACAGGTATGAGGAAAGGCTTACAGGCATGCTTTCTTCTGGGAAGGCTTACAAGCATGCTTTCAGTATCCCTAATAAATTGTACATGATAGAACTATTTAAGAGAAGTCACAGCAAATTCAATTCCCATCTTCACTAGGACAAAAATCTTCAATAAAGGTAGTGGGTTTTTTTTAAACGTACTTCTTAATCTCAGTTTTTGCTTTTTAGCTTTATGGTCAAAATTACCATCAGTCCCTAAATTTAATAAAAATGTATAATCCTGCACATAGATCTTTTACTTCCCCCTCCCCCTACCATAAAAATCCAAAAAACCAAACCCAAAAAAACAACAAGCAGGCAAAAAAATTTCCACCGATCTCTTCCTTACAGCAGCTAAGTGCAGGTTGAAAGAGGATGGCTTCAACCAAGAGCAGTTAAGTCTGAATGCCTGTTCATCCATTAATCATTTTGCTGAGACTACCAGGATGCCCATCATAAAAGTGATCCAAAGCACCAGAGTATCAGTAATGAGCACAGATTCATTCCAGTCAAGACACTGAGCTGCTAAGAAGGAAAAATCTGCTACTGCCCATTTTTATTCTTCCTATATGATTTTTTTACAGGGGGAAAAATATAGACAAGAAACCACTTCAGACTGAGCATGCCACGTTGCTGCCATCTCCCCTCCCTCTTCAGTCTTAACCACTTCTTTCTGTCACAACTCAAATTTACTTTACAGGTATGTACAAAGGGAAGTATCTAAAAGTGTATCACAATCAAAAGGATTACACTTGCTCACTTACAATAACAGATAACCAAAATGTCAGCACAGTCTTAAAAAAATCACCTATTAGGGAAAAAGTATATATAAACAGGTGGAAACAATTATTCTAGTAACTATGACAGCCTTGGAAGACCTACCACTGTCAAAGACAGCTCTAATAAGTTTTATGTAGGCTTTATCTAGATCTCCTCGTCGTTCTGCATTTTTGAAAATTGATTCAGCAAGGGCTGCAAACTCTTCAAATTCAGCAACAAATGGAAGGATCCCAACTTTACTCTTCTTTGAGATTTTCACTTCATCCATCTGCTTCATCTGATTACTCTTTAATTTAAAACAAGAACAAGTGTTAGGCTCCAGATCATGTAACAACTATTAAAAGAAAAATGCAGGCATACTGAAAAATCAACATTTATCCACCAAAGACAGAAATAATTCTTTCAATTAGTACACCTATTTAGTCTTTCACCCTTTTTACCCTTAAAATTTTTAAAGCAAAATACTTGGAAAGAAAAAGGAAAGAAGGTCTTTTATTCCCCTTTATTTACTTAGTATTATGAAAACAAACACCCAATGGGAAAAAAAAACCAAATTTATGCACCAGAAGCAATTAACAATTTTCATTTTATAATCTAACAAGGAACTCCACTTTTCCGATTCAGCCAAGCTAATGCTTCCTTTTGCTGCAGGAAGTTTCCTTAGTCTTCTTTTGAAGAAATTTTATTTCTGAGTGTAATCAGAAATCAGTTTCCAAATATTTTAAGTATTAAACTTATCAAGAATGGTCGGTTTTATGATGTTTGCTTAGAGTCAAATTACATTTATGACAATAAAAACAAAGTTATACCAACAATTCTGTTTTCAGTAAGCCTGCCATATTTAATATAATGGTTGTAACTGCAGCAAAAGGAAGTTTCAGACAGTAGAGACAGCCTCTGCTACTGCCAAAAGAACTCACACCCTCTTAAGTCAACAAGGTTTGGTTTTGGCAAGTAAAAAAGTCAGAGAGCTACTTAATGGACTTCAGTAATCTCAGAAGGAGGACAAGTTTAAACAAGCAACTAAGAATGTCAACTAGTTCAGAATTGTGAACGAGTGGTCTTATTTGTTACAAAAATCTACTTATTGAGGAAAACTGGAATGGAGAGGAAAAACGAAATACAACCACCATTTATTTGAAGGCTTGGCCAGTAGAAAAGCAATAAATTACTAATTTTCATTTAAAATTTAAAGCAAGAATTTAAATATAAATACATGTTAAATCAAACTGGGTAGAAGTGGGCTTCCTATAATATTTCAGTTGGCTTAATCAGAATAACTAAATGCACTTACAATGCACTTATCAAAGTTCCTTTTGACAGTCACCAAAACATTTCCCAGGGTTGTGCTGAGAAAGGATGCAGGGTCCACATTTTGAGCTGTCCATACATGATGGCTCATCTTAACTAACATATAAAGGGAATTGAAGCTATCAATCTTGTCTCCCAGTGCTATAAGGTTATTCAGCTCAGGTTCAATACAACGAAATATTTTTGTCATCATTTGTCGGATCATGTCCTTCCTATTAAAAATGTGTAAGAGGAAAATATTACTCTGACAGTTTACTAGGCTATTTTATATGTTTTTCTAAATATTTATTTGATATAGTAGTCTCATTTGCATGCAACAAGTCTCTTGACTTTCAGAAAGTCAGTAGCACACAGTAAAAATCAACAATCAAAGGTATAAAATATTCCAGAAAGTATTTTCTCTGTGGAAGCTGCCACTCTCAGAACTTTCCTAAGCATATTTTTATATAATAGTGCCTAATTTCAATTTGCAAGCTATTAAGAGAACAACGATATACAGAAATAGCCATCTAATACACAAAAAATATTATTTTTACTGATACACTCAGTGTCTAGGTAAAAATTAGAAGTTCACTATTCACTTTCACTGAAAGGGAATAATTTCTGATTCTAGAGAAAAAAGTTTTATATTCCAAATAAACTCAAACATAGGCTTAAGAATCAATAATTTAAAATAGCAGCACATACTCAGATGATACTGTTTGCGGAACACCAGAAGTGTATGAACGAGATAAAGCTACCCCATCCACTTCCTCCACTTCATTCTGTAAGAATAAGGAATGCATATAAAGATAAGGTTTGTCTCCAATCTATATCAAAGCAGTTACTATATCTGACAAAAGCAATAGAAGTAGCAGCTCCATACCCCCAGTACCCCCTGCCTCCAGAGTAGAAAACAGAGCAGTTTGCAAGTTTCTGGTAGTTTTCTAGTCATGTTCCACTGAATTCAACACTATCCATAATAAATCCCCACTGTCTTCCTACATAGCATGATGGAGTGTTGTCATCTTATGAGGAGACAGCCACGGCATAGGAAATATGTCAGTCCTTTCATAACTTTTGCATTGATCAGCCAAAAATAAAGATTCTCCCAGATATAGAAGAAAAACTAATTACTTATCACCTGGATCACATAATCCCCAATAAATTCCAAAGTTCTCTTTTAAACAGATCTCTTTTAAGGCCTGGTCAATACTTTTTACTTCAGTGACAGAGAATGTAAGTCATACCGTTGTTGTTCCAGAGGTGGTCTGATGTTGTTGTAGTTTGAAAAATTTACTAATGAAGTCCTGTTCTGCCAGACACAGAGGCTCTAGTTCACTTAATACTTGTTCAAAAATCTAAAGACAATTAAAATATTTTATCAACATACCAAATACTATGGATAGTTAGCAATACTAATTTTAATTGTTTTTGCATATACTTTCTATCTTCACAAAGCTTTAGAAGGCTTACTACTGCTTAACAGAAACGGAAACAGCTTGTACTTAGCTCTCTAAAAGTAATAGCTGCATCTTCAACATAGTCCTTTCTTATCCATGTAATACTCTAAAGAAAAGAACAAGCTATGTTTTTCCACAACTAGAAGTTTTCTAGTCACAGCCTGAGGAAGCAGTTTTGTGCTATAATGGAAGCACTTGCATTTTAATACCAAGTCGGGGGTTCTGCCACCATCTTTTCTGCCTGGGTTGCTAAGTGAAGGAAGACAAAATTAAGACTCAGGGAAGAAAAACAGGTCATCTGTCTATGTTGAAATTAACTGCTCTACAGAAAAAGCAGAAGTTTCTACATAGCTGCTACAGAAACAAAAAAGTAGGTTTTGTAACAAAGTATGCAACACAATTTTTAGATTTAAACTAAAGCAAAACACTACTTTGGCAATAAGCAATTACAATGATTTAATTTTATTAATACAAAATAAGGAAATTTTAAGTCAGATGTTAAACATATTTCTCTTACACAGTTATTTAAAAATTAAGGCATGCAATAATTTACATAAATTAAACCAATCTAGCCACATAGGAAACCCATGGTGATTAAAATTCCCATAGGAAAAAAACCCCAGAAACCTAGTAGGTCAGCTCAATAGCTTACAATTCTGTATATTAAATCACATTCATGTATCCCCAATGGGTGTGAGATATAAGTGAGAAATAATAACAATAAATAACAATAGCACATTAATTGTATAAACCTGCTTTAACAAGTTAGCTTTTTAATTCTAGACAAGTTGCTGCTACAAGTTCATAATAACTTAACAGTTAATATTGTTTCAGGCTTGTATTTCCTCCAGGAAAAGACTGAACAATCATTTTAAAAAGTCAGAAGAAAAACATTCATCTCCATCAAATAATTCAATAAAAAGCAACAAAATTATTTTCATCTCTGACTGAGAACTGCTTGTTTTCCTTCCACAGCACTGAGGAGTTAATTCCACAAGAAATGGTGAGCACTGTCACTTTTAATGGTTCAGGAAAAAAAGTCAACAGATGCCGTGGACAGCAGGTTTTAAAACAGGATAAGGCTACTCCTTTAATAACTTAGTGCTATTGGTTAAAGTTCAAAATTGATGATAACTAATGTGAAACCAGTATAAATAAAATTTTAGGGTCACACTCAAGTCCTGGCTAAAATGCTTATCTTCCTTATCTTTTACTTTTGCTTACATACTGGCAAAATGTCATAGAATACTGAATGAGTTGAAAACAACAAACGAAACAATGGATAATATATCAGTTCCATTCCTACTTGCTTAAAAACACGTATTTGGCTTAAACTTAAAGGAGCATTTTTTATGCTTGATATTCCTTAAAGACCACACACAGCATATAAAGGATTTAAACACATTCTTATAATGTGAGAATAATACTCTCATCTACATATTTCTTAGGAACTACCTTTATTAGAGGTACGGTACATATAAACTTTGAAATTGGCATGTTTTAGAATTTTAGAAGAAGAGATTTTTGAACTATACAAGGAGGATATTTAAGATACTTCTAATACAAAACTAAGCAGGAATCCTATGCAATCTTTTTACTTTACCTTATCAAATTTTGTTCTGTCAGCAACATCCAGGTCAGAGGCAGACATGTTTCCCATGTCTAACAGTGAGGACGACTGAGATCTACGGTTTCCTGAACTCTGAACAGAGAGTTTATTTAGACTAGAAGTAGACCCAGTTAATTTTCCAGAACTTCCATGAAGACCTGTGAAATAAAGACACTATGAAGAAGGAAAGTGAAGGCAGAATAAAATACTAAAGAATAGGTTTGTTACAGAACATGAGATCAAGAGTTGCTAGTAGTCCTATATTAAAATCAAACAACTTTTGTCTAATCTATAAATGCTTCTGCTGTAAACATATTCTTTCCTCATTATAAGGTAACTGATATTCTTCAGCAGTTTTCAAAGTACAATATAACTATTTTAATTCTCATGGTAAAGTATGGCAAAAGGTGTAAAAGGAACTAAACTCTAAAATACAGTAACATGGGGACTAAAGACTTGAAAGCTAAGACCAGTTATATTTGTGAACGTATTTTGGGCAAAGGCTGCCACAAGCAGAAGGACTGAACCACAGGAAGGAAAAAAAAAAAATTTAGAAGTATTATACACACACAGGCACTTTTTCATCTTGAACTTGATCCTTCTGCTGTTAACATCCTTTTATCTACACAATTTGTTCCAGCTATTTTTCTGGATCTACAACACCACGGTAACTCTGCTGCTAATGCTCTCCCCTCCTTTTGACCATAAACATTCAGTCATTTCTTCATTATATTGCTGGGCCTTCTCCTAGGAGCATGTATTTTCTTTTTTATTTCTTTTACCCCCAAATTTTTCAGAAATGTTGGACCAGGACAGAGAAAGCTAATAACAAAAAAGACCAAAAAATTATCATTATCTGATCTCCAACTAAACTTCTCACATCTAAGCCACAAAGAAACTCAAAAGCAATCCTGCAAGTTTCACTTAACTGCTGTGTTGGTATCTAGTCTAGGGACACAAGACAAAGTCTATAGATCTAATCTAAATTGTGACTACAACCTGCTGGAGGAGTGGAAAACAGTGACAAGCTCTCAGGCACAAACTATTTTTACTATCAACTAGTAGAATGTGAAAACCAAAAGATATTGCCTTTATGTGCAAATCTTCTCAGATTCTATGTTGGGACTTAGAGTTGTGCTTCCTTTTTGCCTTGCAAGCCTAATGGTTCTGCTAATGTTTATTTCATTCTGAACAGAGTGCTTCAGTGTTAGGTAGATTCTCCCTAATGCAGCACTACATCGTAACATCGACACACATGCATTGACAACACCAACTAATGCAACTAGTTATACTCACTCTCAGTTTCCTGTTTGACAGCACTTTCTTTTCGAGGCAGTGTAGCTGGGATGGATTAGGTTGCAAGCATCAAAGACAAAGACAAGTTAAAATGCAGTTTGCACAAACCATGCACAAGATGCAAGTTAAGCTCTAACTGGAAAGAAACATGCAGAGAACTATAAGCAGCAAGTAACTACATTGCAAACACATTTAGTTGGAGAGGTACTATTCTAGAAATTCAGTATCTAAACTACATGGAAAATAGAGTAAGTTTCTAGGTATTAAAATTTGATTTTTCTTATACAGTATGTTCAAAGAACACTTTTGGTAACACTTATTTAACTTCTCCCAAATTGAGAAGTCCATTAAATTATTTGTCAGACTCAGTTTCCATGAGAAATCATATCAAAAATAGACATGAAGAAATTAAAATGTACTTATGGAATTTTTTTCCTGAGTCAGAGATATTGTCCACCTTTTCAATTTAAAACACACACACAATTACTGCAAAATAATTCATATTGACAGTAGGTCTGGCTAACGTTTTCTTAGTTGCTGCAAATCAGGATGTTTACATAGAGAATACATTTTGTGCATTCATGCTGCACAAAAACAGATGACTGCAAATTTGGAGAGGATAAATATAATAAACATATAGTAAAAAATTTTCAAAGAGGTTTTTGTATTTTTTCTGGGATTTTTTCAGAGTTGAAGTTTCCTCAAGTGGACTTCAATATGAAATTTAAAGTAAATGGGCATTTGTAGAAAATATAGAATCCCTAGAGTAAAAGGCATTTGCATACACACACTAAAAGCAATATGTGGTTTTAAAAAGATCTTGATGAAGATGGATGCTACAAGCCCCCCAAAATGGAGCAGGCAAGCAGAACCTTCTGTAATAGAATGAGTAGATATTTCTAAATGCCACAAACATGTCTTAAATACCAGATGTTCTCAAGTAGGCAACACTACTGATAATTTTTACATCAAATTCAAATTTAATTCCAGCCTAGTTTTTAGATCTTGGGGGTTTTGGTGGATTTTGAATAAAAAAGGTTTAGACATGATATATTTGGCATATGCAACTGTCATGCATTGGTCCCACTTCTTCATCATCCTCAATTTCTAAACACATGGGACTTATTACAGAATGTGAAGAACTACAAAGATCAGGCCTTGGGCAATCAGGGCAGCCTTAGTGGCTTTTGACAAGCTACATCATATCAATATATGACAGTAGTAGCACTCTTTCCAACACTGATTTTATGGTATTTAAGTATCAAAGTCTTGGCTTCATCAGAAAAGAAAAAAGAAAAAAAAAGAAAAAAAAGACTACTTAAGACGAGTGTGAATGCTCATGACCCAGGCTGGTTTTATTTGCCATAAAAATGCAGACAAAGAACCTTGCGCTAGCACAGAATGCCAGAATTCTCCCAGCATCCCCTCTGCGTTTGAGGCATTCAAATAGCAGTGCTATTCCCAAAGCACAAAAAAAAAGGCAAGAACACACACCAACACAACTTGGAAACAGGTCATCTTTAGTATTTGAGTACAACTGGAGCATTATGCACCTACACTACTCCTTAAACAAGTTTACACTATTAAGAAGTAATGTATTTTGAATAAATGTGCAATTAGCAGTAGTACAATCACTACGATGAACACAGAAGCCTTTGAAATTACACACCCTTATGAGGTGTTGCAACAGAAATAAATTTGCACAAATACACGACAGCAGTCTTCCCAAGGTGCAGCTTTTACTCTGGTGAATTGAAGGACCTCTTTCTCCAAAATGCCGGATTGCTCCGTAACATTTGCACAAGTTAGGGAACTGCTACAAAAGCTGTCTCTTCACAAATACAAATCACAAAACAAGTATCAAGACAAAGCGTTTAGAATGTTTCAGAAGTCAATTTTCATTAGACTAAAGGTATTTTTTTCTTGCAGTAAGATTGCTTTTCAAGATCAATGAATTAAAATGTTCTGACAACGACATCTTACGGCACCTGTTGCTTTCTATGACCAACAGCTTGCCAAGTTCTACCTTTCCAGTTTTCCCTCTCTCAAACAAACCTTACCACTTTCCTGCTTTCTTCCTTTCATTACATTTTTCTAGTTTCTACCATCAAACTTCAAAGCATAAATTCACGACCCAAAAGAGGCTGACAGAACTTACTACTGACAGCTGCACATAATTTTGGAATTCAGAATTTGCAAACTGATAAACCGTGGCAAATATAAATATTTCAAACAAGCTTTGGAACACTGCACCTAGAAGTACAGAACTGACAATACAAAAATACACCTGTACCACTGTTGCTTTATAAGAATCCAAGGTTATTTTTTTGTTTTAAGCTTTATTTCCATATTCACGCTAGACTAATCCAAGTAAGAATACTCCCTTAAATATAAATACATACACATTAACAAATTATGATTTCTAGTCTCAGACTACATAGGTAAATCCCCCTGAAAAAACACATTAAAATATGTATGTTTTACAAGGCAGAATTAGCATTACAACCTGCTTCTTAAAAATCCACCCAAGATTTATTAAAAGCAGAAATAACAGCAGAAGGACACAAAATAATGCTGCCCAAACTCTCTTTAATTACAAGAGTTGATTTTTCATATTTGTTCGGGTAATAAAGTGTGATAATTCAAGCAATAAAAAGTAAGTGTAGATTTGAAAACCGAGAGAAATACTGTATTTTATACTTTTATTTTGACTAATTTTACAACATTTCAGTTGTGCTACTTTGGTCTTGTGGAAGTCAGAAGTTTTACCAATCACATTTTTCATCCCACTTCTTCCATCTCTCCAAAAGTAAAGAATTTTACACCATTACAAAATCAGCCCTAGGTGTTGTAGTGAGTGTTTTATATGCAAACAGTAAGATTCAAAGCAAGATATGTGCCTTCTGGAAGCTTACCAAACTTTTTTCCTTCTCTGGTTGTGCCTGTCATCTTGATCTTGGCAACTTCAAAGAAATCTTTTATTTCCCTTTCATAAAGTCGTGATAAATAATCCATATAATTCTTAAAAAGGAAAATGTAAATTTAGTTAACAGGCATTCATACCAAGTTTCCTCTATTTTAGGTAAATACGTCTTAAAACCTGGACATTTTCAAGTATGACTAAGTAACAAACTAGTCTGGACTACATAAGTATATATATTTATGCAGCATGCACAAAAATATATTTATGATATTTAAACATCTTACATTCATTTTCATAGTGAGCTCCCTGATCATTAATCAGAAACTCCTACTTTTCCTTCATAAGGAAAAATATGCAATGCAGTACATACAGATAGGTTTACTAGTGGTAGAGCATCACAGAATTCTGTTCGAGGGTAGAATAGAGAGAATTCAGCACCCTTCTTCCTCCATCAGACTCTTACTGTGCCCCCAAAAGCACACATAAATATGTAATTCTCACATTTTTTATCAGAAGATCACAAAGATGCAAACCATTCACTATCTGCTTTACCCTGAAGGCAAAGGAACAACTACTCCCAAGCCATTTTCAAAGTCTAATTTAAATCTTCCATTTAAGAATGACAGTACTTTAATTTTAAAAATACTTGTTTTGTAAGAAATAACTTTTCCTTGACTTCTACCTGAACATTTTGTAGTATTTTTTTTACTCCATCTTAGTTTTAAACATAGTAGTTAAAAGTTAACATACATACAAGGGAAAAATATTTCTATTTAATTTACTGTACAAGAGACCTCTGAAGTTTTTGACACACCCAAGTGAAATGAAGGTCTGTTGAAATAGAGATGTTGCACAAGCAATAAGCACACCAATTTGAAATTAGCTTGATTATTTTTCTTACTAGCTGTATAACAGCAAACTTTTTCTACATAAATATTAAGGTATCTTATGATACTTCAGCATAGAATGTTTGAGGGAAAAACTAACAAACAGAGCAGGAGACCACAAATACTAAAAAATTAAGTTTCCTATTCTAAAAAGGAATAAAAAGAGAGGAGCAGTGAGTTATACTT